TCGTCGTCATTGGCGTCTTATCCCGTGGGCGACACAGTGCCCCGGGAGGCCGGGTCCTAAAAGCCGAGGCGACGGAAGAGGCCCGCGGCTGCTGTGGTGATGCTTCTCTTCCATCGTAGGTGCCTTCCTGTGCGAGACCCCGGTGCTAGCAGTGCACGAGGAAAATGTGTACACCGTGGAGCCAAACCGAGTCCAGGTTCGCACCTGGCAGGTGAGTGCCGGGTCCACCTGTGGGCTGTGCTGATGACACTGGAGCAGGTTCCAGGTGTGACTCCAGTCGCCCATCACCTGCTGTGCTGCACCTCTTTCAAATACATCAAACCTTCAAAAAAATAAAAAGGGTGACTGGCTGTGGGCCCTGGGGGACCTTCACCTGAAGGCAGCCGGGGTCACAGCCAGGAGCAGTGAGGGTTGCTGTGGCGTGTGCTGTGCGCTCTTGGTGTCGTGCTGTCTTCTCCCTAGAAGAAACATCTGGGCCCATGTGCTGGGAGAATCAGGTAGCTGGTGAAGAAGGAGGAAGCTGTGGAAGACGGCGTTGGGGGGTGCTGAGGGCCCAGCCCCTGGGCAACAGGGCCAGGGTGGACAGACAGGCAGTGTGGTAGGCAGTGACAGGAACAGGACTCTGAGCCTGCCAGGTCAGCCTGCTTGCTTTTCCTTCTTTCTTTCCTTATTTTTATTTTATTTTGTGTGTGTATATGTATATTTGAAAGGCAAAGTTATAGAGAGAGATGGAGAGATCTTCAATACACTGGTCCGTTCAACAGTGGCTGCAGTCAGGCTGGGCCAGATTGAAGCCAGGAACTTGGAACTCCATCCAGGTCTCCCACAAGGGTGGTAGGGGCCCAAGTAGTGGGGAATCTTCCACTGCTTTCCTAGGTGCCTTAGCAGGGAGCTGGATCAGAGGTGGAGCAGGTGGCTCATAGACGTCAGTGTCACAGGGCATCTCTCTTGAGGTGGCTTTAAGCTGAAAGTCCAGCAGTGGAGCAGGTGCAGGACTTTAGTTCTGTAAACTTCCCTAGAGAACCCCAGGAGACCACTGGAAGTGCAGATCTGGGTGTCCAGAGCAGGGGTGGTGTAAGTTCAGGTCTGAACCCAGGGCATCCAGCAAGTAAGGGGCAGAAGATGGCGGACGTGCGAGCCTGGTCAGCTGTTTCCTGCCTCTTTGATTTCAGCTGTGTGCAAGCAGCCCTTGACCTTGGTTTTGCATGCATTTGATAAGCTCCTACAAGATAGGCCAAGGTGAAGGTCGGAGTCCGGCTGGGGCTGCCTGTCCTCTGTTCTCTGGACTGTGCGTCCCTGCCTCCTCGCCCGCCGTTGGAGCTTCCTGCAGTTCTGTGCCCACTGAGTGCCTTGCGGCCCCGTCTTAATTAGCATCCTCACACTAGTGCCACGCGGCTCTTGTGCCGGTCACATCAGCCCAGCTGCTGCGTTCCGCGGTGCGTGTTGACACAGTGCCCCTCCAGAACGAGTCCTGCATGCTGCGGGCCGTCCCTGAGTCTGGGCGAACTAAAACCCAGAGGACCAGGGTGAGTCTGCCTCCTAAATGTTATGAAGATAGAGTGACAGTTTTCACATACAAGTGATGGAAAATCACGTCCTGGCCGACAGCCCCGTGGCATCTCCTTTACCTCAGCACATAGCCTGCCCCAGTGATGGTGGTGTGGCCACGCCCTCTGGGCCCTGGAGGGAGACCCCGTGCTGCTGCAGTGCCGCGGCCTGCTTCCTCCACTGTGGCTGACTCCTCCCTCCTCCCGGCTGCTGGAAGGCCGCCTCAGACGAGACTGATTTCTTAAACGTTTTATTGAAGTATTAGATACACAGTGAAAAGGTGGACGTGAGCTTCCCTGGGGACTGAGCCCAGGAAGAGACCGTTGTCCTGATGAGGCCCCTCCAAGCCCCCCCCCCTCCCCGGGCACGTTTCACAGGACACCCACAACCTGCCAGTGGGCAGTGCGTTCGGGGCTCAGGGCGCTGTCTCCCCAGATGTCCACCTGTCGCCCCTCTGCCCCTCCGTCTCGTTCCTCCCCTGAGCAGACGTCCTGGCCAGCTGCCTCTTCCTCAGGGTTGAGGGCAGGCTCCGCCTGTGCCCGTGGCCCTGGAACCCCGCCGGTGCCTACTGTGGGAACGAGCGCAGTGCGTGAAACTACGTGTGGCCGCTGCTGGGCAGCAGCAGTGAGACGCCATGAAAGCTGCTTTCCTGAATCTCCTTGTTTCCTCAGGGGACGGTCAAACAGCTGCTGCTGTTCTCGGAGAACGAGGGGAACCCCTGCTTCTTGGATGTCTGTGGAAACTTCCTGGTTGTCGGAACAGACCTGGCTCACTTTAAAAGCTTTGATCTTTCCCGAAGGTACAGTTGTTGTCCAAATAAAAGTATTCTGTTTTCTGAGTTAGGAGGCTAGAAAGTGGGCAGACGCCAGAGACCTCGTGCGTTCTCCCTTCAGCATGAACAGGCCACTCACATCTTGAAACACCGCGTATTGAGGCTGAATTCTGTGTTGGTGGCAGGGTGGTGGGGGGGGAGGGTCGAGTAGAGGAGGTAGGGACACTGCACCTGAATTCTGTATTGGTGGCAGGGCGGTGTGGGAGGGGAGGGTGGAGTAGGGGAGGTAAGGACACTGCACCTGAATTTTGTGTTGGTGGCAGGGCGGTGGCGGGGGAGGGTCGAGTAGAGGAGGTAGGGACACTGCACCTGAATTCTGTGTTGGTGGCAGGGCGGTGTGGGAGGGGAGGGTCCAGTAGGGGAGGTAGGGACACTGCGTCTGAATTCTGTGTTGGTGGCAGGGCGGTGGGGGGGGGGGATGGTCAAATAGGGGAGGTAGGGACACTGCGTCTGAATTCTGTGTTGGTGGCAGGGCGGTGGGGGGGATGGTCAAATAGGGGAGGTAGGGACACTGCGTCTGAATTCTGTGTTGGTGGCAGGGCGGTGGGGGGGGGGATGGTCAAATAGGGGAGGTAGGGACACTGCACCTGAATTCTGTGTTGGTGGCAGGGCGGTGTGGGAGGGGAGGGGAGGTAGGGACTCTGCGTCTGCCAGAGCCCCTGGAACTTTCCCTCACAGAGTGGGAGCCTTAATGTACACAAACGCTTCCCATCTCTTGGGGCATGGCTGGGGAGGGGGTTGCCAGGATGGAACACAGGAGGTAAAAGCAGCCTGTCACGACTGAAGGCGTGGGGGACAGCGTCCTCTGTCACTTTGGAAGTGGTGGAAACCATGTCACAGAGCAGCGCTGACGGGGTGCATGAGGGATTCTGACACCATTACCCCCTGGAGCTGAATTCAGCTGGAGCGGAATGGGAAGGCAGTGGTGTGGGGGCGCAGGAGCCGGATCCTCACTGTGGGAGGGGCTGCGGAGTAGCAGGCACCCAGGGGTCAGAAGACGCCACTGTGAACCCTTCTGCTTGCGGGTTTGCGTGACCCTGTCTACAGAGAATCCCCGCATGGGTCTGTCCAGTCTGTGTGGACACACATTTCCTTACTCCACCATGGAGCTGCTGCACACCATGTGGTTCCTAACAGCTTGTCCAGGAGGAGGCCCGGCCCCTTGGAGGGAGCTCAGCCTGGGACTGCGGCAGTAGCGCACACAGGAGGCTGAAGCAGGGCGGCAAAGGTGCCCGTCCTGAGCGAGGGCAGACAGGGACAGGACAGAAAGAAGGCGGGGTGACGTGACAGCCCCAGTAATAACTCAGTGTGCACGGGGCCGTCCTGACGGGGGTGGGGGGCACAGAGGCTCCGTGGACGCCGCCCCTGGGGATGTGCAGCACGGTCCCTGCTCCCAAAAGAGCACAGAACTTCCCAGAGCGCCTTCTGCTCGGTGGAGAACCTGATATGCCCAGCCCATCATGGTGACCCGGCAGGCTGACAGGTTACACCTGGCCGGGCCAGCGCTCCACTGACACGTCACACTGATGGGTTACACCTGACCGGGCCAGCACTCCACTGAGCCGTCACACTGACAAGTTACACCTTGCCTGGCCAGCACTCCACTGACACGTCACACTGACAGGTTACACCTGGCCGGGCCAGCGCTCCACTGAGCCGTCACACTAACAGGTTACACCTCGCCTGGCCAGCGCTCCACTGACATGTCACACTGATGGGTTACACCTGTCCGGGCCAGTGCTACACTGACACGTCACACTGACAGGTTACACCTGGCCAGGGCAGCGCTCCACTGAGCCATCACACTGACAGGTTACACCTGGCTGGGCCAGCACTCCACTGAGCCGTCACGCTAACAGGTTACACCTCGCCTGGCCAGCACTCCACTGACACGTCACACTGACAAGTTACACCTGGCCGGGCCAGCTACACTGACCTGTTATACTGACAGGTTACACCTGGCCAGGCCAGCACTCCACTGACACGTCACACTGATGGGTTACACCTGGCCGGGCCAGCGCTACACTGACCTGTTATACTGACAGGTTACACCTGGCCAGGCTGTGATGTACCTTGCTCTGTACCTATGCGCTTCTCCCATTGCCCACAGCCCAGTCCCCAGGCACACCCCTGGGCAGTGGACGTGAGACGGCCCCAGGCAAAGAGGCGCCTGAGGGCACTGGGTGAGAAATGTGTCCTGGAGCAGAAAAAGATGGAGGCAGAAACTGAGGAAGTCAAAGAAAGGGGAGAAGCTGCCTGCAGGGCCTGGTCAGGCAGCTGCTGGTCTGGCGGGGCGGCAGGGCGGCAGGGCGGGAGTGGAGCTGTGCCTGCCCGGGCCGCTGCGGCAAACGGGGGGGGGGGGGGTGCGCCGAGGCTGCAGATGCCTGTTGCTCACCTCAGCACCTGCGTCCTGAGCACACAGGGCTGCGGGCTGAGAGGCACCGAGCTGCGAGCAGCCTGCCCTCTGACCCGCACTGCACCCCTTCCTCCCCGCAGAGAGGCCAAGGTACACTGCAGCTGCAGGAGCCTGGCGGCGCTGGTCCCGGGCGTGGGGGGCATCACCTCACTGCGGTGCAACGCCAGCGGGAGCAGGATCAGCTTCCTGCTCAGCCCGGTGAGCCCCTGCCTGCCCGCCTTCACGCCCCTGCCCCTGCCCCTGCCTGCCCGCCTTCACGCCGCTGCCCCTGCCCCTGCCTGCCCTCCTTCATGCCGCTGCTCCTGCCCCTGCCCCTGCCCTCCTTCATGCCGCTGCTCCTGCCTCCTGCCCCTGCCCGGGTGGGCAAACCTCCCCCCCCACCTTCTCCCGCCTTCTCTTTGGGCCTCAGGGGTGCTTCTTGCCCGTCCTCCTCTCCCCCTCCTCTCCAGACACAGTTGCCCCTCCCTCAGGAAGCCCCTCACCTCCTCTCGGTTCCTGTGTCCCAGCCAATTCTTCGGCAGGACAGGGGTGACGAGGCCTGCGGAAGGTGTGCCCTGAAGGCTCGTGCTTAGAGAACTGGAAGACGTGTGTGGGCAGGACCACGGCAGCCGTGTGGGAGGGCCCAGAGGAAGCCAGCAGGTGGCGCCTCGAGCTCCTCTCTCCATACGGCCCAGCTGTGTGCTGTCGCCCGTTCATGCTTTTATTCAGGACGGTCTCTGGGCGTGTCCAGTGGTCCAGGGCTCTCCAGGCCGGCAAATCCACAGGTAGCGGGTTAGCAGGCCGGGCCCCCCAGGCCTGCAGGTCCACAGGTAGCGGGTTAGCAGGCCGGGCCCTTCCTCTGGATGAGCAGGTGTCAGTCTCCAAGGCAGCAGGCGTGTTTCCAGCTGGGGAGGGCACAGCGGCAGGGGAGAGCGACACGGTGTGGGGTCTGGAAGGCTCCCTGAGGGGCCAGGATGTGGGGCGAGAATCAGAAGTGAGCTGTGGCAAGTCCAGCTTCCTGCAGGAAGCACAGCTGGGCTGACCTTGGCCTGAAGCAGAAGGAAAGAGCAAGTGCCACACCCTTGTCAGAGGGTTCTTTCTTTTTCTTTTTTTTAAAGATTTTATTTATTTATTTGAAAGAGTTACAGAGAGAGCCAGAGGCAGAGAGAGAGGTCTTCCATCCCCTGGTTCACTCTGCAAATGGCCACAATAGCCGGAGCTGAGCTGATCTGAAGCCAGGAGCTTTGGGTTTCCAATGAAGGTGCAGGGGCCCACACACTTGGGCCACTTTCTGCTGCTTTCCCGGGTCATTAGCAGAGAGCTGGATGGGAAGTGGAGCAGCCAGGACTAGAACTGGTGCCCACGTGGGATGCCAGCACTGCAGGGGGCGGCTTTCGCTGCTGTGCAATAGCGCCGGCCCCTAGAGGGTTGTGTGTGAACCAGGGATGGATGTTGGCATCCACGTGGCTCCTGTTACTCCTGCAGGGACTGGCTGTGTGGTGGCCACAACCGGGCTTGGTGATGGATTGGCTGGTTGGTGTGGGGTCAAGAACCCCCCGCCTGTCTAGGCCCCTCAGCCAGGGGAGGAGAGATCAGAGCGCAGGTGAGCCCCTGGCAGGGGTGGAGAGATCAGAGCGCAGGTGAGCCCCTGGCAGGGGTGGCAGGAGAGATCAGAGCGCAGGTGAGCCCCTGGCAGGGGAGGAGAGATCAGAGCGCAGATGAGCCCCTGGCAGGGGAGGAGAGATCAGAGCGCAGGGGAGGAGAGATCAGAGCGCAGGGGAGCCCCTCGCAGGGGAGGAGAGATCAGAGCGCAGGTGAGCCCCTGGCAGGGGTGGAGAGATCAGAGTGCAGGTGAGCCCCTGGCAGGGGAGGAGAGACCAGAGCACAGGTGAGCCCCTGGCAGGGGAGGAGAGATCAGAGCGCAGATGAGCCCCTGGCAGGGGAGGAGAGATCAGAGCGCAGGGGAGGAGAGATCAGAGCGCAGGGGAGCCCCTCGCAGGGGAGGAGAGATCAGAGCGCAGGTGAGCCCCTGGCAGGGGTGGAGAGATCAGAGCGCAGGTGAGCCCCTGGCAGGGGAGGAGAGACCAGAGCACAGGTGAGCCCCTGGCAGGGGAGGAGAGATCAGAGCGCAGGGGAGCCCCTGGCAGGGGAGGAGAGATCAGAGCACAGGTGAGCCCCTGGCAGGGGAGGAGAGATCAGAGTGCAGGTGAGCCCCTGGCAGGGGAGGAGAGATCAGAGCGCAGGGGAGCCCCTGGCAGGGGAGGAGAGATCAGAGTGCAGGGGAGCCCCTGGCAGGGGTGGCAGGAGAGTTGAGTCAGAAGTGCTGGGAAGTGACAAGCAGGCAGTTCCACACCTGCCAGCACCATCCCCGGGCCCTCAGACGGGGCGTGGCTGAGATGAGAGCAACCCAGAGCTGGGTGATTGGAGGTAGAGAAGCTGTCTGCCAGCGCTGGGGGTCCAGGGAGGCCTGGGGAGAGCGCGAGCACATGCAGCCGGGGGGGGGGGGGGGCACCAGCCCTTCAGCAGCTGCTGCTGGCCCTGTGTGGTCAGGAACAGAGCCTGTGTCAGCCAGGGGCCCGGTGCCCTGTCCAGTGGCTGTGGGTGCAGGGAGGCCCTGAGTAAGACCAGCAAGGGTCAGAGAGGGAAGTGCAAGGGGCCCGTGGTGGGGGGGTTAGGAGGCCAGAGAGGACAGCTTGGGACACGGTGTTCTTGGCCCTCCCTGGGGGCGTGGGTGATGCTTACCCGTGGTAATTGGAAGCCTAAAGAGAAAAGGCACTCCTGGGACGGGGGCCTGGCAGTGGAAAACGGCGCCCTGCCCCGTTAGCACCTCCGTTCCCCAGGAATAGACCTGCCTCGCTGGGCCTGGAGAGAACGTGGCAGGTGGGATGGTGCCACACAGGCAGCAGGGCCTGACGCTGCTGCCCCTGTGTACAGGCAGAGGGTGCCCCTTTGCCATCCTGCCCCAAGCCCTCTGCTCGTTTTACTTTTTTCTTTGAGGGTAGTCAGGATTTTTATTGTCAAAACAAGAGATCTTAACAGAAGAAACAAATAAATGAATTGCCTTAGTGATTTTCAACTCCAGGGCCTCTCTGGGAAGGGCAGCTCGTGTAAACACGGGTACTGCACAGGAGAAGAAATAGCAGCTGTCTGAGAGCCTTCGAGACATGACTGGACGTGTCACCATGAGAAGCTAAAAGGCAGCTGCTCTGTGCCTTTCTCAGAAAGACGCGTGTTGCGTAATGATCTCAGACTCCTGTTGCGTAGAACAAATTTGAATTCTGCAACACACACATCCAAACACGTTTTGGGCCCTAACCAGGATCAGGAAATCAACCCCAAGATGGTCGTCGAGCTGTGCTTAACTTCTTTACTAAAGCCTGATGGCCATTTCTCTGCCAAATCGGTAGGCTGAATTTTCTCCCTTAGTTTTCGGTCACATTGGAATTAAATTCAACTCACTTTAAAGTGTAAGAAAAGATCTGCAGGACTCAGGTTTGTTCTGTGCGTGTAGAGGAAGCGTGCCTGCAGCTGCACCAGCCCAGCAGACGTCGCATGGGGAGTGGGCTGCAGGGCAGAGGCACGCGTTAGCTCTGCCAGAAAGCAAGGCGACTCCGATTTCAGAAGCCGTACATGGGGGCGCTGGTTCTGTCCCAGTTGCTCCTCTTCCAGTCCAGCTCTCTGCTGTGGCCCGGGAGTGCAGTGGAGGATGGCCCAAGTACTTGGCCCCTGCACCCGCATGGGAGACCAGGAGGAAGCACCTAGCTCCTGGCTTCAGATCGGCGCAGCACGCTGGCCGTAACAGCCATTTGGGAGTGAACCAACGGCAGGAAGACCTTTCTCTCTGTCTCTTTCTCTCTGTCCACTCTGCCTGTCAAAAAAAAAAAAAAAAGAAAGAAAAAACTAGTGAGCCAGGCCCCCATCTCTGCAGCGATTTAGTGTAACTTTACTTATTTTTATTTATTTTCAAAAATATTTATGTATTTATTTGAAAGAGTTACACGGAGAGAGAAGGAGAGGCCAAGAGGAAGAGAGCTCTTCCATCCTCTGGTTCCCTCCCCAGTTGGCCACAAAGGCTGGAGCTGCACCCATCCAAAGCCAGGAGCCAGGGGCTTCTTCCAGGTCTCCAGCACGAGTGCAGGGCCCAAGGACCTGGGCCATCTTCTGTTGCTTTCCCAGGCCATGGCAGAGAGCCAGATCGGAAGTGGAGCAGCCGGGTCTCGAACTGGCGCCCATATGGGATGCCGGCACTGCAAACGGCAGCTTTACCCGCTACACCACAGCGCCAGCCCCTAGTGTAACTTTAAAGCATACAAAATAGTCTCTTTCACAGGGCAAGAAGAGACTTTGCACTAACGTTTCTCAACAACCAATTATGTCTCCAGCTCTCGAGGGGTTCTGTAAAATCGGCCCTTTCCCATGTGAGAACTGAGCTAAAGGGCAGTGGGGCGCAGGAGGCCCTCAGTCCAGAGCCCCCTGGGGTGGAGAGCTGCAGAAGCCAGTGATCCAGAGTCCCTGGGTGGAGAGCTGCAGAACCAGTGATCCAGAGCCCCTGGGGGAGTTGTAGAACCAGTGATCCAGAGTCCCTGGGTGGAGAGCTGCAGAACCAGTGATCCAGAGCCCCTGGGTGGAGAGCTGTAGAGCCAGTGATCCCGAGTCCCTGGGGTGGAGCTGTAGAACCAGTGATCCGGAGCCCCTGGGGTGGAGAGCTGTAGAACCAGTGATCCGGAGCCCCTGGGGTGGAGAGCTGTAGAGCCAGTGATCCGGAGTCCCTGGGTGGAGAGCTGTAGAAGCCAGTGATCCAGAGTCCCTGGGTGGAGAGCTGTAGAACCAGTGATCCGGAGCCCCTGGGGTGGAGAGCTGTAGAGCCAGTGATCCAGAGTCCCTGGGTGGAGAGCTGCAGAACCAGTGATCCGGAGCCCCTGGGGTGGAGAGCTGTAGAGCCAGTGATCCAGAGTCCCTGGGTGGAGAGCTGCAGAACCAGTGATCCGGAGTCCCTGGGTGGAGAGCTGCAGAACCAGTGATCCGGAGTCCCTGGGTGGAGAGCTGTAGAAGCCAGTGATCCAGAGTCCCTGGGTGGAGAGCCATAGAACCAGTGATCCGGAGCCCCTGGGGTGGAGAGCTGTAGAACCAGTGATCCGGAGCCCCTGGGGTGGAGAGCTGTAGAGCCAGTGATCCAGAGTCCCTGGGTGGAGAGCTGTAGAAGCCAGTGATCCGGAGCCCCTGGGTGGAGAGCTGTAGAACCAGTGATCCGGAGCCCCTGGGGTGGAGAGCTGTAGAACCAGTGATCCAGAGTCCCTGGGTGGAGAGCTGTAGAAGCCAGTGATCCGGAGCCCCTGGGTGGAGAGCTGTAGAACCAGTGATCCGGAGCCCCTGGGTGGAGAGCTGCAGAACCAGTGATCCGGAGCCCCTGGGGTGGAGCTGTAGAACCAGTGATCCGGAGCCCCTGGGGTGGAGATCTGTAAAGCCAGTGATCCGGAGCCCCTGGGGTGGAGAGCTGTAGAACCAGTGATCCAGAGTCCCTGGGTGGAGAGCTGTAGAACCAGTGATCCAGAGTCCCTGGGTGGAGAGCTGCAGAACCAGTGATCCGGAGTCCCTGGGTGGAGAGCTGTAGAAGCCAGTGATCCGGAGCCCCTGGGGTGGAGAGCTGCAGAACCAGTGATCCGGAGTCCCTGGGGTGGAGCTGCAGAAGCCAGTGGCTGTGAGCACATTCAAGCATGGGGTTGGAGGTGATGGGTCCGCAGCCGTGGTTTCTTCCCCTGTGTCCATCTTGGGCAGCTTGGAGGTTGCCGGGTCCTCAGCCATCCGGGTCGTCTGAGCACTCATAGGTTCCATCAGCGAGGGCTTCTGGGCTCCTCTGAGTCCTGGGAGCCGAAACCTCCAGACTCAGACTTCTGGAGGAGTCTCGTCCACAGAGGCGCCACTGCTCTCCAGTGGATCGGTGCTGCTGCAGCCATGGCAGCCATCTGGGGAGTGAACCAACGGAAGGAAGACCTGTCTCTGTCCTCCCTCTGACTGTCTGTAACTCTACCTCTCAAATAGATAAAACCTTTTAAAAATAAAGATTTATTTATTTGAGAGGAAGAGAGAGAGAGAGGTCATCCATCCGCTGTTTCACTCCCCAGATGGCCTCAACAGCCAGAGCCGTGCCATCCAAAGCCAGGACCCAGGAGCTTCCTCCAGGTCTCCCACGCGAGTACAGGGCCAAGCACTTGGGCATCTTCCACTGCTTTCCCAGGCCAGAGCAGAGAGCTGGGTCGGAAGTGGAGCGGCTGGGACTCAAACCAGTGCCCATATGGGATGCCAGCACTGCATCCACGGTTCACTCCCCAAGTATGCGAAGGCACACCACATTCAGGTCCGAGGCAGGCCGAGAGAGATAGGAGCTCCATTCTGGCCTCTCGTGTGGGTAACAGGAACTTGGGCCATATCCTGGTGCCCCCCTGGCTCGTCAGCAGGGAGCTGGGTCAGAAGACAGGGCTCTACCCCAGGGATTCCACTGTGGCATGCAGGTGAGTGTCCCACGGTGTGTGTTAATCCACTTGACCTCATTGCCCGCCCCTGGATGCACTTTCTTTGAATTTGCCTCTGAAATTGTAAAGTAGCAATTCCCGGAGTGTTACCGTAGAGCTGACGCCCGCTCGCGTTGCCAGCAGCACGCTCCCCTCCGCAGGCCAGAGTGGGTTCCTCACCCAGCGTCCTGACGCTGCCGCGAGCAGCCCTGCTTTCTCTTCCCCAGACTCACAGTGTTCCCGATTCCAAGATCTGCTTCTACGACGTGGAAATGGACACAGTGACTGTCTTGGACTTCAGGGCTGCGCAGATGGGTCAGGGGGAGTCGCTGTCCTTCAGCCGACAGGAGAGCCACAAGTACGCTGGGGTCGGGCGGGCTGGGTTGCTGCTGCATTCCCAGGCAGGCCGCGGCTTGGTTACACTTCAGACTGCAGCGGCGATCACTGGGAAGGGCAGAAATTGCCACAGAAACACGCCAGGGCGGCCGGGGGGTGCTTGGGTCTTCAGTGTCCGACTTCCAAGTGAAAGGAGCTGGAATTAGTTATGTGTAGACCTGAACCCCGGGAAGGGCTGTGGCCAGAGTGTCTGAAATGGCCTGGGAGTCCCAGGACAGGCTGACAGGGCAGCCTCCAAACCTGCCCTCGGCTGCCGGAGGCCTTTGTCTTGGTGCAGGTCTTGTTCCTGGGGAAATGGTCCCAGGCGGCCTCTGAGATGTGTGTCCACAGCTTCTCTGCTGCCAGGAGCCCCCTCCCAGAGCCTGGGGCACTTCTATGCAGCCCGTAGTTTAGTCCGCGTAGAGCAGGGCTCTAAAGGGTCCTGGAGCGAGTCTGCTCTGTCACGGGAGGAGCCGTGCGGCCGCTGTTCAGATTGGGCTTGTGTGCAGCAAGTACGTGCAGAACCGAAAAGAAGTGGAAGTCATGGGGCTGGAGGAGTGGCTCAGGGAAAGCCCGGGAATTGAGTGTTAGTTCAGACAGAGCCTGGTTTATTCTCCGACTGCCGGAAGGTCCTTGCTGGGCCATCAGGCCGTCCCTCCACCACGTGCTCTTGTCCAGCTTAACTGAGTCCTGCATCCCCTCACACCACCTTCATTCCCGGCCCCATGGCCTTTGCCTCCGCCCTCTGCTGGCCGCTCCCGTGGAACTGCCCAATTCTCTCTCCCACTTCAAGAGATGTCCTAGCCCCTCCCCACAGACACCTGGCTCGGCAGCACCACTCTGCTGAGCCACCCGAGACCGGCCGGTCCTTCCGCTGTGAGTCGTCTTTCACCGTGCTTGTCTCCTCTCCATGCCGCGCTCCTTGCTCTCCTTCCGGGGAGCAGCAGGCATCCTTCTGCCCATTCCACATCCCTCACCGGGCCAGTCTCGCTCCAGAGGAACTGACCTGTGTTACCTGCACTCCATGGGCTCTCAGAGGATGCCCAAGTAAGTGCCTGATGCTGTGCCTGTCCCAGCTGCCCGCCTTCCAGGTGCTGTTGGAGCAGGAGGTGGTGTCCGTGAGGGACACTGACTCCTTGGAGGGCAGGTGCTGTGCCCGCCCTGTGGTGACCA